ACTCAAACCTCCAGCCTTTTGGTTAGCAGCTGAGCGCGTTAACTGTTTACACCACCCAGGGATTCCCATGCACAAACATGGGTGTTAATAAAAGACACTGGATATTGATAATTTAAGTTTATTATTGCTTTTGTTTTTTACTCATGTTGTGAACATTCAAACCCTTGTCTTTTTAGAAAGTAAAATGGTCCCTAAAAGTAAGAGAGCGCCTACTACTCTTAGCCCCTTTTTAGCAGTAAATTGCAGTTGAGTCTTAGATCCATCTTGCTGCCAAGAAGACAGACTGACCAAGATCCCTTTCACGATCCCTCTCCAGCATTGTGGGCCATTAAAATAAATGGTGTCAAATCCCCAGAATGCTTTAGAATCTCACTACAAGTGTGGTTCCTAGGTCAGCAATATCACCATCTCCTGGGGCTTGTTAGAAATGCAGAATCTCAGGTCCTACCTGAGACCCACGGAGTCCAAATCTACGTTTTAGGTCAAGTGAGAGAAGGGCTGTTTCAAGGGATTCCCTGAAAAGAGCTTCCAGGGGCCTCTGAAGCCACAAGACGCTTGTTGGATGCACCCAAGTGATAACCGATTGAGCACCTCTAGGGTGTAGATACCTCTTCCTCTGCTTTTATAAAGGCACACTAGCCCACTGGGCCCAGTGAGTGCCACCTTCAGAGACAGCAGATGCCAAAGAAGACATTGATTTGGTCCTACAGAAAACAGATATTTTCTTAATTCTCAAGGGTTGGCAGCTCTACCTTCCCAGTGCAGCCTTGTTGGGACAGGTGGGCCCAGCAGTTCTTATGTGATCATAGATTCTGCAAAGGAGTCTTGGCCAGCGAGACACCACAAATGCCAAGTCATTGTCTAGAGTGAACATATGCATTTTTCTTTTCAGTCAACTGAAAAAATGTTACTGAAATAGGAACCAATGATTGTAATTATCAGGAATCAAATATACCAGGTCCTTTGGAAACCCTGGTGGAGTAGTGGTTAAGACCTATGACTGCTAACTAAAAGGTCAGCAGTTCTAATCCACCAGGAGCTCCTTGGAAACCCTGTGGGGCAGTTCTGCCCTGTTCTATAAGACTGCTATAAGCTGGAATCGACTTGACGGCAATTGGTTTGGTTCAGATTTTTTTAGACTGTCTCCTTTTCTGTATAAGAATGTGTGGGTGCAGTAAAAGCAAGGACTCCAGGATTCGAACCGGTCTGTTTGTACTCCTGAGTCGGATACACCTTCTTGAGTGTCACAACTTTAGATCCAGAAGTTAAATGTAGATTTGCCCCCCATAGATAGGAGTGGGGACAGAAGTGAAGGTACTAGATTATTACATGTCTGCATGATATCCTTTGAAATTCCAGGCAAATTCTAACTCTGGTGCTTTTTCTAATCTCTTACACGTTTCCAAATCATACATATTCATAAATGTAGACACTAGCAATTGCATATTGGTATTTATTAAAAGGTGCACTATCCAGTAGAAAACAGTGAAACCTGTAGCTAACAGGAATAGCATTGAGAGTCAGAAGGGGATTTCCTGGGTAACCTGGTAGTTAGGCTCGTGAAGTCTACAGTCAGATGGCCTGGGTTTGAATCCTGGCTCTCCTGTTTAATCGATAGCTCTGGGCAAGTTACTTGACCTCTCTAGACCTTATCTGTAAAATGAGGATAATAATGATGCCTACCCCATTAGGTTTGTGAGAACTGAAGAGTTAATATGTACAAACCTGCTTAAGACAGTGCCCAGCGAATAATAAGCTAATCGGTATTAACTGCTGTTATTAAATCCTGAAATAAGACAAAATTGCTTGGTTAAATGGACTAATGAATCATATTAGGAGAGTGAGAGAATTGAGTTTCACCTTTTCTCATTTCCTACAGTACTGATTAACAGAGAGGTGTCCAAATTAAGTACAGAGAAGAGAGGGAGAGAATCAGGGACCAGAGACATCTACTAATGCAGCAGTAATTCCCCTTGAATAATTGAACTGTTGTCGTTAGGTGCCACTGAGTCATTTTCAATTCATAGCAACCCCATGTGACATAATAGAACTGCCCCTAGGGTTTCCTAGGCTTTAATTTTTAAGGGAGCAATATGCCAGGTATTTCTCCTGAAGAGCTGCTGGGTGGGTTCGAACTGCCATCCTTTCGGTTAGCAGCTGAGGTCTTGGCTTTAAAAATGACTTATGTCTGAGAAGCAAGATGAAATAACTGGATACACTAATAGAAGGCTCTATAGTTCGCAGACTAGGGCCACATTCATTTTCTCATTTACTCTCTCTCCGTAGTTTTCTGTGAGGTAGAACAGGTGTCATGGTTCCTACTTAACAGATGAGGACGCTGAGGCTCAGCAAAGGTGGTGGCTTGACAGAGGTCCCCAAACTAACTAGAGTCCTGGCTGCCTGACTCCAGATCCAGTGCCATTTCCACACAGCCTCTCAATGATTTTGCAGGCCCAGCACTCAAGTGCCTTAAAGTCCAGAAGGCCATTGAGAACTGCTTCTCTTTTTCCCTCTTCTGTAAAGGAAGGGGGAGAGAAGCTCTTGAAGTAGCAGACAGAATACTTCCTGCCAAAGGGAAGGCTCCCATGTGGTTGATGCTGTAGGACCTTTAACGAGATATTTTGGATTCACATTTAAGGTAAGGTAGGGAGCTAGAAGGAGGGAGGGGAGGGAGGGTAGTGTTCTCATGCTTGACTGGCTGGATCCCCTTCTTCAAGCTGCCCTAAGCTGAGAGGGAGGGTGTTATGTGATACCTGTGGTTTGGGTCAGTGTGAATCACCTAAGTGTGTTATGAAGAAGAAGAATTGATGGCACATCTCTTTAGGACAAGGATGGCAAATGTAGATGGATGTGTCACCTGCCCCCTCTTTACCCATGACAGTCATTGCTAATTGATCATGATCTTTCCCACTGAGCCTCAGAATCCTCCTGAACCCAGGGTTTCAGGCAGCTGTTACCAGTCAGATTTGTTGAGAGGAAACCCTCTGGCCCTTCCTCTTTTAGGGGTGTCCCTTCAGTGCAGTGAGCAGTTACATCTATTGTTGAGTTAATGAATTTTCTTTTGGGGTTTAGGTGATTTTGGAGTTCCTGGTGGTGGCAACTGTATGTGTGTATGTGTGTGTATATATATATCTTTTAAAAAAAAAAAAAGTCATCATCAGGTTGATTCCTACTCATGGCAACCCCATGTGTGTCAGAATAGAACCATGCCCCAGAAGGTTTTTAATAACTGATTTTTCAGAAGTAGATCACCAGGCCTTTCTTCAAGCCACCTCAGAGTGGACTTGAACTCCAACTTTTTGGTTAGCAGCCAAGTGCATTAACTGTTTGCACCACCCAGGGACTCCGTTTGTTTCTCACCAGCTATTTAAATGTTACTGCTCATTTGACACTTGTTACCTTTCTGTGTCACTGAGCAGCTCTTCAAATAAAAATTGAACAGCAAGATATTAATCATGTTCATTGTGACCACCCGTCTTGCGTCTCTTTTTAGAGGCAAAGTTCTTTTATTCCATCCCTACCATCTGGAAAAGAGACAGTAGTAGGAGAAAGGGGCTTCTCCCTTCTCCTGTGCGCGCACTAGATTGGTATCCATACAAGCTGCGATGTGCTCTTCCTGCCCCTCCCCTCCAAGCGAACAGTGTCCTCTTTGAGACAGCTGCAGCACACTGAGCTCTAAGGGAAAGCACGTGTCTGCAGTTGGCCGCGTCCACCCTGGCAGGCCACTTGCACAATGTGACCAGTAATGCTTAGCAGATGATTTTGGCCTGAGTGTACTCATAGGACTCTGTAAGACCTATAAGGGTTGTGGTTCAGGAACTTCAAAGTAAAGGCATTACTTTGGTCTGAGATTCTGCTTGACCTTTCCTCATTTAAGCAGTTGGGAGGGAGGGGGAGGAAAGGGACAGCAGGGCCCCAGGGAGGCACTGCAAAGTAAACAAGTCTGTCTTATTTTAGTGGGTCATCGGGGCCATTTAGTGAAGTTGCCTGAAAGTGGCCAACTGAGGAGCCACCATGGAAGAAAGTCCCTTGGCCACATGTAGACTGTAGGTCTCATCACAGAGCTGTAGATGGAGGCTGTTGTCACAGACAAGGACCAGGAGAGCTGAAGGCCGTGGCTTCATGCCAGCACAAGAGTTTTTTGTTCTTATTGATCAGACCCAGCAAATGGCATGTAATTTCTAACCAGAGATCAGTCAGTTCTTTAAAAAATAATGTTTATTGTGAATTAATTGTGAATTTCTCTCATGATAATTGTAGAATATTTGGAAAATACAAAAAGGAGAAAGAAATTCCCCATTACATCACTGTCTAAAAAAGAACCCTTAAATTTGGGATGTATTTCATTGAAGTCTTTTTTCTATGCATACATATGTAAATATTTTAGAAAATCTGTGTAATAATGAAAATGCAATTTTATCCTGCCCTATTTACACTTACGAGTATATTTTTATATCATTAAATTATTTTAAAATGCCATTTTAAGTGGATTTATAAGATTCCATCTGACTCATGCACCATAATTTATTTAACCAATTTTCTTGTTGAACATTTTAGTTATTTCTACATTTTTATAAGTATGTTATAAATGATGGCATCATATGTTTTTAGGGGGAAAATACAGTAGGGAATAGATTTTTGATCTTTTGATTCAGACAGCACTGTTCATCTATACTACTGCTAACATCCCAGATGTGTGTAGAATTACATTTATTTTTTAGACAATTTTAGTATCATTGTTCATATGTAGTATGTGGTTCCATGTTTTGATACTTAAAAATAGAGACTATCTCCAGGCTCCTTTGGGCCCTGAACCATTGAAAAAATTGACAGTTCTGTCAAACAAGAGTGTACAAATCATTGTAGAGTTACTTGACTCTAGCGGGAAGTCCTTAGCTGCCGTGTTAAGTGCGGTTTAATTTGGATCAGGTGCCGTTGGTTATCTTCCTGCCTGTGGTCCATCTGGCGCTCACAGCTGATTCTGGTTTTCTCCCCTGTAGTTACTGGGGCTTCCGGATGCAGATGACGACGCATTTGAAGAGTACAGTGCGGACGTGGAAGAGGAGGAGCCAGAGGCAGACCACCCCCAGATGGGGGTCAGTCAGCAGTAAACCTCTGAGTGCTTGTACCTGAGGGAAGAGTGAACCCTGCGGTGCCCTAGTTGGGGTCGTGTGCTCTGGGGTTAGCATTTTGCGTTAGCACTTCAAAACAGGATGTCTGACTCCTGGCATCCAAATTAAAATGAAATACCTTCTTAATGACCACGAAATATCTGTGATGAGCTTTGCTCACAAGTGACCTGAATTTCACTCCTGCTTCAGTGGGGTTTCTATGGAGTTGTCTCGGTGGCCTTTGCCATTTTAAATTTAGGGTCCATTTTGTGGCTGACTATTCTCTCTTGAGTTTATGTTGGAGAATTTACATTCACTGACTTGAATGTAGAGAACTCTGAATGTACCAAGGATATGTTTTGAGTCCTCACAGGTAACCTTACTGAGGGAAAGCATGGCAGAAAAGAAGCAGTCTGCACTTTTTATGTACCTTTTAAGTGTCCATAAGTGAAAGATTTTGCTTAAAAAGCATGAGTTTTAATATGTAGTCATTAAACTGCACAAGTGCAAATACAAGGACAGAAAAGGATAATCACTTAGTTTTGGATTAAGAGGGTTAGAGAGGCTGAGAAGCCTTTATTCAAGTGTTCTGCCTAAATTACTAAATTACCTGGAAATGTAGCAGCTGGTTCATGGTTAAGTGTAAACATTACCTACATGTTCAATTATTTCAAAACATGCTAAGTCCAAAGCTACTTTAAAAGTTTAATCATGGAAAATATAAATGGGGTGAAAGACAAATTATTTCTTTAAAATGTTTATAAACCATCCCTCATATGAAGTGAAACTTTCACCTTCTCACTTTGTAATGAGATGGCAACTTGTTAAATCATGAAAGCATCCAAAATCTAAGTGCCACTTAAATTTTGAAGCCATAGATAAATTTAATAGGAAAATAAACTAGGATAATTTTAAAAAATATGTATGATGGAATCCTTCTTTACTTTCTTCATCTCTTTTATTCTTTTAAAAAAAAGGAAAGGATCCCATTGTATAATTTATTAAAAAATTGTAATCAAGTGCTTCAAAGAACCTAATTTCTGTGAAGTTTTAAAGCGATACGAAAGTAGGAATCCTTTATTGTAGGTTAGCTTGGTTAAAAGGAGAATTTTTAATCAAAATACTCAGACAACTCACAGAAACAACTGCTGTAATAGCTGGAAACACCACTGTCATCATCCAGCCTTCCAGTTCTTACCAGGGAGATTCTAATGCTAAAATGGAATTATCTGGAAACATTCATTTTGTTGGACCCTTTCCCATCTCTGGTCCTAATAACGTAGGATGCAGAATGCCTTTTTTACAACCCTTGACTAGCATCTGGGGTGGGGATGTGTTAACATGCACACACGTGCCTGTTAGATTGTCAGAGCTTTGAATTAAGGGGAGGAAAACAGCAGAGGGCACAGAGCGAATGGGAGTCTTGTATATCTTCCAGGCATGTCAGTGTAAACCTGATTGTCACCCCCATTTTCTGTTTTAATTGATTGGTGCTGTGAGGCGTGCAGCGACTCGTGGTAAAACAGTGTCCGCGGTTTTAAGTCATCGGGTACAGTAATATAGTGGTTTCCATCCGTGCTTCATTACCCACGTTTGTTCTATTCCTGAGAAAACATATTAAAGGTTGATTTCTAGTGAAATGAATTTCCTTCGGCGTAGCCTATTAACAAAGCAAAACTTAGTGTTTCATCCAGTGGGGTGAGCGTATTCTGCTTTGCTGCCTTGCCTGTATTTTAACTGGCTCTCTTCTTGAGCAGAAAAGAGTGTGAGCTGTAAATTATGTAGATATCACCCAGGTGTGGTAACCTCCATTTAAACACAATAGGCTGGAAGAATGACTCCTGCAACTGAAATTAAGAAACTTGACTAGCTTGCTCCATTTGAAGGTAAACTGGAATTTTATACATGGGGGCTTAAAATTTAAATTTACATGTGTTTGAAAATGGAATGGACATTAATATAAAATGTATTTTATCAAAAAAGTGTTTAGACTTTGACCAAATACATTTCTGTATTATTATGTTAATATTCTCTGTTTATAAAAATCAAAATCGAGCTGAGAGAGACTCAGCCATTCAGTGGGCTGATAAGAATTCTGGTCTTTGTTCTGCCCCAGGGGTAAGGGATAAAACCGCTGTATTTATTTTCATGGCAAAACTCCAAAAGGCATTAGCAAATCCAGATTGTTTCCTCTAAAATGTGCTTTTTCTCTGATTGTGTGCACATCCCTCCCAGTACTCCCACTGCACACACTCACACTCTGACACCACACACACAACACATACACTCACACAAATTCACTCTCACACACAAATTCACATAAACATACTTCACACACTCATACACACATATTCACCCACACAGGTATTCATATTCACACTCACACCTCACACACTCATTTACTCACTGTCATACATAATCTCTCACACACATTCACACACACATACTCCTACCCGCGCTGTGGGTACTCTGATAGAGTCGTGCATCACGAGCGCTTGGAAAATATGAAGCTTCACCTGGTCAGTGAGGTCAGGCAACCTGTGTTTTGTCATGGAAACGGTTCCGTGGCTAGACAGGCTCCTGACCTTTCATGAACCTATAAACACACTTACTGGGAGGCAGCATGGTGTATTGGAAGGAGCATTGAACTGGGAGTTAGTTGAGAGACCTGGGTTCTAGTCTGGACTCTGCCATTGACTGCGTGACCTTGGACAAGTCACTCAAGTACCCTGTGAAGCAAGGGGTGTCTGCCCTTCCAGCTTTAACACTGTACTTCTCTAACTGCCTTATGATATGTGTGTGTATAAAGAGCAACAGTCAAGGAAACTTTTAGCGGTATGAGATGAGAAGACGTTTTAAACCTTGCCAACATGCTGTCCTTAGGGTCCCGGGCACAGGACAGCTACCTTAGAACATGTTTCCATTGGTTCGTTAGTGTCCACATGCCCTTGTGCATGATCCTGTGGGGCTGGAGAAATTTTGTTCCTTAGATGGAGGGTAAAGTAAAGGAAAACATCCTTGTCCAGTTGTACATGCTCTGCCTATGGTAGGTATAGGTTTCTTGTATGCCTTGACAGATTGGAGCTTTGGAAGAGGTCTAAGTTTAACATAACCAAAAGAGGAGGTTTTACAGGAAGAATAGCTGGAAGAGAGTGAAAGACAAGTCCTTGCACTTTTTTTTGCCATGTCATCCAGTAAAGAGAAAGTGAGAGTTGAAGAGTGAATGAGCGCTTGTGTGTGTGTGTGTGTGTGTGTGTGTGTGTGTGAGAGAGAGAGAGAGAATGAGGGAGAGGGAGTGATGATTGACTGGTTAATTGTTAATCACTGTGGGCCAGCCATGCAACCTTGTTCATGGAAATGTTACAAAATCTTGGTCCTGGGTTTGAGTGCATCACAGGGACATATCTCTTATGGCTACCTGATTACTTCCCTCTGCGTGATCATCAGCGCGAGCTGACTCTGGGGAATCAGAGAGTGAGTTATGCCCTTCCCCCTGCCCTCCGTGCCTGTCTCCACCATGGATTCAGTTATACTAAGGTGGCCATTATGTGTCCCGGGCCCACTGAGCACATAGTATATATATATTTTCCCCTCACAACTAGAACTTGGAAGGTCTCATTTAGGGATTCTCCTTGTGCCCTGCTGCCAGAATTAAGTTTCTAGTGGGTGTAAGTGAAAACCTCTCTCCTCTGATAGTTACTGTCATTTTTCACGTCTACCCAGAAACCATTCTCTAGCACAATTCCATCTCTGAATATTGTTTGTTTCATAAGAGCACAAAGTGTATGGACCCAGTGGAGCTGTGATACCAGGACGCCATCAGAATGTATATTCTAGGAAACTGCCTTGCACATAAAATTCACAAGTTGGAAACTGTGGTGCGAACAAATCTTATATACCCCGGTCTGAGAGGCAGATTAGGAGTAGCCAGGACTTCATTTGGGCTGGGCAGATGTGAATAAGGGAGATGGGAGAGTTAGGTTCTGACTTGGAAAGACCAGCTGAGTCTGAGTTCGGTGTAACGTGTAGAAAAACTTCATGGCCGTCTCGCTAGAGGCCTGCTTTCCTCAAAGGGATGACTGGGTGTTGAGAAGCAAGGTCTTGTGTTGGTGATGGCTTTGTGACTTTGAAAATGCCCCCCAGCCAAGGAAACAACAGGTGTTCTGCAAATATGGTGGAGTTCTTTTCTTCCATGAAACAAACTGCCAGCCGAGGAGCCTGTCTTTACGAAGTGCTGATAGATCCAAGAGGGGGTCCAGTAATCTGGCAGATAGAACATGAGCCAAACTCGGGTCTCGGGTCTCACTGGCAGCTGCCGAGGAGGCTGTGGGTGAGGAATAACCCAGCAGCCAGCGAGCCAGCGCAGAGCCCACCTCTTCTAGCTTGCTTCAGGGTTGTAGGAAGAGCACAATTAAAACTCCAGTGGATCGCAGATCCCCCCTCCCTATAGTGAGTGTTGACTCCAAAGAGCTGCCATTGCCGATTGCTTATTCTTCAGATTACCAGAGAAGCCTAAATTAAAAAAATAAAACAGAATCCTCTTTCATAAAGACCCAGTCACTTATCTCGGTCTTGTGATACCAGGTATGACATGAGAAGCTGAAGTCTTTTAGATTTTATACAGAATAGTTCTACAACTTGCCAGAATGCCAGTAGCATGTAGTGTCCATGGCAATATGGTGTCCACGGGAAAATATCTGTAGCTCATGCTCATTGGGAAAACTGTTAAATAATATGTTGTCCTTTATGTTTTTATTTAAACATTGGGTTACAAAAGTAGAGGACCTACGAGCATTTCATGCTCAGACCCCATTTAAAGCACTGTAAAGCTGAATAGGCACAAGCAGTTAAAGCTTGTGCCAGGCCACATAAAAATAAATGTTTAATTTGCTTAAAAATATATTCAAGGTATTTGGTACCACAGAGAAAGCTGACAGTCTGTTCTTTGCAAAAGTGCGTTTTCCTGTTTTTTTTTTGTTTTGCTTTGCCTTATTAAAGATTCATTTTTCCTGAGTACCCTCTGATATCTAGGCAGGTAAAGATGAGAGCAGTACTGTGTACAGATGTCAGCTTTTTAGAGAAAGTCAATCTTCAATTCTAGGGGAAATCTGAAACTCTTGGTGATCCAACCTTCATTTGTGGATGGAGCAAGATTCAGCCATCTGCATGAGAAGCAAAAGCAAGGAGCAGCTTTTTTTAGGCAAGAACTGCTTCATGTAGGGTGTGTGTGCTTTCTTTGCTTTTATACTTCTTACAGAGAAATCTCTTGTAAATTACAAAACTGTGAAATGGGTTGCCAAAAACTGTTGCCCTTTGTTAGATGCTTTAAACAGTGTAAATCCTGTACTGAACCCTGTCCACATCTGCGCCCTCCTCCCTCCCAAGAGCGAGGATCTCATCCAATGATGTAATTATCATACGCTTGCTATTAAAGAGCCTTCCAAAATCTGTGGTGTTTGCCTCTTTTTTATTCCCTCCACAATGTGTGGTTCTAAAGGACATCTAATGTGATTCATAAACGAGGAATAAGGACCATCAGCTAGCTTTGTGGTTGCTGCTTGGGGTAAGGGGGACAGCTGGGAGACAGAGGAGGAGGGGTTACATGAAACATTAATGTAGATTCAGATGTTAATAATTCATGTGTTTTGGGACATTAATATATCTATTCTGATGCTGTAGCTGGCATTTAGTAATTTTCCATTTTTCCTTTAAACTAGTACTTTAGTTTTGTATATGAGGACCCAAGGTGCCAGCAGTTTGTGCCCAGCTGCTAACCAGAAGATTGTCGGTTTGAACCCATTCAGCAGCCCTGCAGAAGAAAGGCCTGGTGATCTGCTTTTTTAAAGATGACAGCCAGGAAAACCCTATGATTCTATTCTGTAACACATGGGGTCTCTATGAGTCAGAATTGACAGCAGCTGGCGTCAGGAATCCTTTGTGACATGGATTAGAAATCTGTATCTTAGGGTCATTCTGTGGATGCCATGACACCATTTCCCCACTACTTTCCTCTCAGGTATTGTTAATCACTTTTAAAAAATAGCATTTAAAGAATAAATCTGGAAGTTGTTTGTAAGTTTATTATATGCTTAAGAGAAGTTTCTTTCCCTAAATAAATGTGTCTCCAAAGACTTGTTAAATTAGATTTTAGAGATTGGCTTAGTGGGCACAGCATAGAGGTTTGTGTGTACATTTTAGATAATTGCAGTTCTTGGTTTTCAGCACAGCTGTGGTCAGAGTGTACTGAAGCAGGGGGATGGTATGCACCCTTTCCAAACCTCACTGCGTCTAGCAGGCTGACTGCTCAGTGGTGGAGTGTTCTTGCCCAAACAAAGCCTTTCTTATGGGATAATGCCTTTGTTACTGTTAGTTGAGCACTCAAAGGTTTATTTTTTTTTTTAAATGCAGATTGGCTCCTTTAAGTATAGGGACTGGTTTTAGAAATACCCACACCTCTCCAGTTAATCTTTATGAAATCAGTTGGTCAGTTGGCTGGGGAAGGTACAGGAATTCTAGCCCAGGCCAGACTCCTCCCTGACTGATCGTAGGCACATCACCTCAGCTCCCTGGTCTTTGTTTCCTCATCTTTACAAACCACTGTGCGGGCCTTATTTCAGAGGCCCTTCTGGCACTGGCATTGTGGGAATGTATCTTGTCTTGACTAGTATAGTTGGTGGGGAGAGAGAAGAGCATAGTTTTTGAGGGAAACCATGTTTCACCAAACTGGAGTTAGGCGATTGGTATTGGCAAAACTGTATTCTCTGATTTTGAACCCATCTTCCTTTTATTTTTAGAAATAAGGTCCCAGTTGATACATCATATTTTTACCCAAATAACATACGTTACATGTTTTTTGTCAACTGCGCAACGCCCTCCCCACTACGAGTTACTTTTGTAAGCATGCTATGCCAATTTTTTTTGCATGTTGCTGCCTTCAATTTTTATTTCTGATCATGTGGAAACTTCACTTAAGGTAGGTATTTATATTACTTGAAATTGAAGCCAAAGTATTTACCTGTAGATCAGCTGTTGAGTTAATGAGCTATAATTATCAAATTAATAGACACAAACGCAGTTTCGATTGTTTATTTTCCCATTACCAGGTGTCTTAGTTATCTAGTACTGCTACAACAGGAATACCACACAGGGGCAGCTTTAACAAACAGGAATTTATTTTCTCACAGTTTAGGGGGCTAGAAGTTCGAATTCAGGGTGCTGGCTCTAGGGGAAAGCTTTCTCTGTTGGCTCTGGAGGAAGGTCCTTGTCTCTTCTGAGCTTCTGCTCCTAGGTGATCTTCGTGTGGCTTGGCATCTCTCTTCCCCCATCTCTACTTACTGGCTTCCTTGTTTAATCTCTTTATATCGAAAAAGAGATTAACCCAAAACACACCCTACACTAATCCTGCCTCATTAACAAGAAAAACAACCCATTCCCAAACGGGATTATAACCACAGGCATAGAAGTTAGAATCGACAGCACATATTTTCAGTCCATAACACCAGGGGACTAACAAACTCGATCCATGACTTCTTGACCATAGTTTATAGCTTTATTATACAATTATGATCAAAAGTATCATTTCCCAATAAGGAACTTTTAAAGTAGCAAAGATATTGGAAAATACGGCAACAACGTTATATGTCGGAACCAGCAGTAAAATTAAGTTGGTCCTTTGGGATGCTTTTTAATTGGAAGCCTCTAGAGGTCAGTACCACATAAAGAAAGGGCTCTACTTTGGGGTAGTCTAGCCGCCATCTCTGTACAGAGCCTTTGGGAAACGAGGGCTAGCAATTCCCAAAGTGAGAGAAGAGTAGTAAATAGCTCCGCTGTGCGCAGGACAGAAGATGTAGAGTCACTCCCTTTATAGCCAAATCCCTAATGTTTGGCTCGAGTTGATTTTTTTCCTTCTCATCCATCTTTCTCTGCAGCTTTCACACTCCTGTGTGCACACACTGTCGGCTCAATAAACACGACTTATTGACCAATCGATGAAGCGTGGCATTTAACTCACCGTAAGAAGGGCCGGGGAAAATGCCAAAGATGACATCGGAAGGCACATTTCATTTTGTCTTGAGCAGGGTGAAAGCTGCTCTGCTCCAAGGCTTTTCTCTTTATTAGCCAGCAGGTTTTGTTAAGTCATACAGCTTCCAATCATACATTAAGGGTGCAACAGACAGTACGGGGACCACAGATTTCTACTTAGAGCCCAAAT